TTTAGATTCCCACATTCCTTATGCAGTTGCAATGCTTATCAATCCTTAACAAGCAGAAGGGAAGGGAGAGGGGTAGCACTTTATCTATCAAATGCAGAAACAGTGCCTGCACTTTATCTATTAAGCGTAGAAGCGGTGCCTGCCTGTGCCTCTACTCCCTAATACCATGTCTGTACACCAGCTGTTTCCCAGGTCTGTATTTAAGCCTTACATATTCCAACATCCCCTACACTCAAGGCAGGACTAAGTATTATCTAGACCATCCCTGACAAGTATTTGTCTAACCTGTTCTTAAAAATCCCTAGGCAATTTATTCCAGTGCTTAACCACTCTGACAGTTAGGAAGTTTTTCCCAATGTCCAACCTAAATTGCCCTACTGCAATTTAAGCCCATTGCTTCTTGTCCTATCCTCAGAGGTTAAGGAGAACAATTTTTCTCCCTCCTCTTTGTAACAACTTTTTATGTAATTGAAAAACTGTTATCATGTCCTCTCTCAGTCATCTCTTTTCCAGACTAAACAAACCCATTTTTTTTCAATTTGCCCTCATAGGTCATGTTTTCTAGATCTTTAATCACTTTTGTTGCTCTTCCCTGGACGTTCTCCAATTTGTTCACATCTTTCATGAAATCTGGTGCCCAGAACTGGACACAATACTCCAGTTGAGACCAAATCAGAGTGGAGTAGAGCGGAAAAATTACTTCTCATGTCTTGCTTACAACACTTCTGCTAGTATATCCGAGAATGATGTTTGCTTTTTTTTTGCAACAGTGTTACACTGTTCACTCATATTTAGCTTGTGATCCAATATGACCCCCAGATCCCTTTCCACAATACTCCTTCCTAGGCAGTCATTTCCTGTTTTGTATGCATACAACTGATTATTCCTTCCTAAGTGGAGTACTTTGCATTTCTCCTTATTGTATTTCATCCTATTTACTTCTGACCATTTTTCCAGATTGTTCAGATCATTTTGAATTTTAATCCTATCCACCAAAACACTTGCAACCTCTCCTAGCTTGATATCATGTGCAAACTTCATAAGTGTACTTTCTATGCCATTATCTAAATCATTAATAAAAATATCGAACAGAACCCAACCCAGAAATGATCCCTGCAGGACCCCACTCAATATGCCCTTCCAACTTCACTGAGAAACACTGATATAACTACTCTCTGGGAACGCTTTTCCAACCAGTTATGCACCCACCGTATAGTAGCTCCATTTAGGTTTTATTTCCCTAATTTGTTTATGAGAAGGAGTATCAAAAAACCTTATTAAAGAAGAGCTTTTTCTGTAATAAACCTCCAAGGTCTCAATACAGACTGTGACGGTGCCCCCCATAAGGCTTTATGGAAATATGCTTATGAATATATATGACATAACTGGACTATGTTCTGTGCTACATATGCATGTAACATATCTATGTAAAGGTTATGATCTACTGAATCTATTAATCCTATTTGTATGAATGTATCATTTTTGTATTCAAAGTAATGAATATTGGCCGTGTACTGGCTTGATTTCTAAATAACCTTAGTAGAGCATTTGGTCAGTTCCTGGAGAAAGGAATTCGCAAAGTTAAGTGCCCAATCAAGAAGCACTTAAGGAACAATGCATCTTGGATTGCTCCAATCCGCATAAGAAGTCTTCCTGGAGACATTCAAGATACCATGTGGGCAATGGCTTCTTCCTGTAAAAACTGTGAGTCATGCATGGACATGTGGCTTGCCCAGGTGACTCCAGAACTCCATCTTGGAGCTGGACTTTGCATAGGTGAGAGAAAGGGGTCTCCACGCACAAGAGAAAGTCCATTTAAGCCCATGGGCGACCCCTCCATTTTGTCTTCAGCTGGCTAAAGAGATAGCCTGTCCACCTCCAAAGATACCTGAAAGAAACTGGAACAAAGGACAATAACTAGAGGGGGTGTGAGTGATTGCTGGACCCAGAGTAGCAGGAGACTAGTCTGTAAAAGGAAGCTTACTGGAACTGGTGAGGTGTTATTTGTATTAAGTTTATTAGACATAGACTTGCGTGTTCTATTTTATTTTACTTGGTAATTCACTTTGTTCTGTCTGTTACTACTTGAAACCACTTAAATCCTACTTTCTGTATTTAATAAAATCATTTTTTACTTATTAATTAACTGAGAGTATGCACTAACACCTGGGGGGGGGTGCAAACAGCTGTGCATCTCTCTCTATCAGTGTTATAGAGAACAAACAATTTATGAGTTTACCCTGTATAAGCTTTATACAGGGTAAAACAGATTTATTTCGGTTTAGACCCCATTGGGAGTTGGACATCTGAGTGTTAAATACAAGAACACTTCTGTAAGCTGCTTTCAGTTAAGCCTACAGCTGTTAGAGGACGTGGTTCAGACCGTGGGTCTGGGTTTGCAGCAGGCTAGCGGGTCTGGCTCAAATCAGGTAGGGCACTGAAGTCCTAAGTTGCCAGGGCAGGAAAGCAGGGGCAGAAGTAGTCTTGGCACATCAGGTGGCAGCTCCCAGGGGGTTTCTCTGATTCAACCCGTCACACAGACCAATGACCAAATGTCCCAGTTAGCAATAATTTTCTGAGTTGATTTATGGGAGGCTTAGAAGATTGCTTTTTGGCAATAAGACTGTGAACTCTAAGGCCAGGCTTCTGCAAAGGTGCCTGAGCTGATCTTTAAGCATGCAGGTACTCCTTATGTGCTCAAAGTTAAGGATATGCTAATGTGTTTGCAGTCTTGGTGCTTAAATCACTAGTTCAAATTAAGCCCTGGTTAGCAGAACAGAAATGCATTATTATTTTATTAGGATTTGATGGCCTATTTGGTGACAGGATGGTCTCACTTGATGGACATGTCACATGTGTACATTGCAACTGAACCTCTGTAGTCTCTGCAGAGAAGTCAAGGACTTACTTTGTATGGGGATTGAACTCTTTCTGGGGGGGGGGGGGTTCTAGGTCACATTTGAGGTGCATTGCAGAGCAGCATGGGGGAAGTTTACATTGCTACTGTCCACGTTTTCCCAGATAATGTCAGGCACTCTAGTTACCTTTTATAACCAAAATATGACTTCAAATAATGATTAAAAGTTGCTATATTATCAGTAGGGAAAACAGGATGTGTTCCACACAGAGATTAACATTTACAGAGCTAAAATAAAACCACAAAACTGCAGATTGTAGACCTTTTCATTTCATTAACAGAAGGACTAGACAGATGAGGCCAATACAAAAATGCCCTTTATTCTCTCACCTCACCTGCTTGCCTACTTATAATAGCCCAGCTGGCATACTAGCTGTCCTACATAAGCAGATTTCCCCAAAAGGGTTAGTTCAGATAAGAAGTTCTTCCTTCAGCAACAGTTCAAAAAGAAAAAAAGTAAAGCTTACAACACAGCAATGAATACGCACATACCCCAGCCCTCTCAGCCTCTGGTTATATCCTCTTTCCTTTTCTATCTCTTCTCCCTGCTCTGGGGAAATCAAGAGTCTGTTGTTAATTAGATTTGATAAGACAGAAGGAGTCTCTAGATAAATGTTGACAAGTCTAATTGCTGGTCACAGCTGTAGGACTTCTCACTGCTTGGGAACCCAGGATGGGGTTTTAACCCCCAGTTTGCCAACGCCAGGTTCCAAAAGGGGTTAATCTAACCTTCATAATATGAATGTATCTCCACGTTAAAGTAGCAAACAGTGCTCCATTATAAATCCTTATTTTCTCTGTCTCTCTCATACACAGATTCTAAGATATAGTTAAAGTAGACGTTCTGAATTTTTCTGTAATTAAGTATTCTACTTTTTGAAGACGGGAAGAGGGGAATGATTTTCAGAAACTTTAACTTAATGTTCAGTTTGAATGCAACTTCCCCCAGAAGCACAAGTTGATGGAATGCATGGGGGCTCCAGCACTGGGATAGGGGAGACAGGGAGTTATGCTCAATAAATAGCTTTTGCACTCTTCTCTTAGAAGTATGTATACTCACAAGCACACATATAGGTATGGAAAAACATAATTGGGCCCTAACAAGGCAAACATACGACTGGTTCTATTCAGTACAATGGGCCTATTCACATGCATAAGTGCTAGAAGAATTGGTGTCTTAGCTTACAGTGACAGACATTAGTTATTCTATGGTTGACTGGTGCTTACTAATATCCTGCTCCTGCAATCAGATCCGTGTGAGCTCACATCAGTCAACAGAACTCAGCATGGGCACAAGGGTCCAACTGTGGGGATCCAAATTCAGGATTGGAGCCTCGGTCTACAAGTGTACAGTTTACTAATGGTTGCTAATCATATTGCTTTCTACCCATTTGCCTTTGCCAACAGTGACTATTAGTATAATTACTGGTAACTTTTTTTAATGTAAGTATTAAATGCAAAAAACATTACACTTGTACAATTAAGGCTATACTCTCTTTAATTACAAGATCACATGCATATCTTTGGTCCTGATGCTGCAATGAGCTCAGAGTCTGATTCAATGACCATTGAGTTAATGGTTCCATTGGCTTCAGTTGGACCCTCAGAGCAGCAAACGCTGTGCTCATGTCGAGCCCCTTTGAGTTCAAGGAGGCTTTGCACTCGTGCGGGCATCTGCCCACATGGAACTTATTACCTACCTGGGGCCTGAGCTTGTAGAAGACACTACATTATGTTTGGTTGCATTATTTTAGACCTTGTATGCAGTACAGTTCAGTGTACACACACAAAGGAGTAGAGTTAAAGTTGTCCCAGGTATTAGTTTTTACATTTTCTGACTTTTGTGCCACTTTATCAATACTTTAAAATAGTTTAATATTTTATACATTTGGGCAATAATCATACATTCCCTACACAAAGCTATTCCATAGAAACTTCCAAATATTAATATTTGAATACTTGTCATCACAAGTTCTCTGACTTGAGTTGAAGGCATATATTGTTCCTTTTAAGTAGTTTTACATTAAACATGAATTAAATCTGAAGAAACTGAATTTGTATTTTCTTTCCTTTTATCAAACAGGTCTCAGAATACGATTGTTCAATTTTTCTCTCAAGTTATTAAGCTGTTTGTTATATATAATTCGAGTGCTCCTGGATGATCCTACACAAGGACATGGATGGTAAGATTTTCTTTTTTATTTGCCCTCTCAAAGTACTACTTATATTGCATGAAACAGCTCAATCGTTCTTGATGCTTATAAATATTTGATGTTCTGTCAACAGGGATTTCGTTTTAGAGTTTATAGTTGCTTGTGGTGCAGCATGAATTGCAAAACTAATCCAGTCTTTCTGAGTGAATATGATAAAGTATCCGATGAAAATGTAATATGATTTTCTTTCAATCAAAAGCATTTTGCTCCTTATTACTGAAAGTGTTTACTGTATATTTGTTCATATTGTGTAATAGTCTCTGTCAGGGACGGCTCTAGGCACCAGGCACCCAAGCACATGCTTGGGGCGGCACCTGGTAAGGGGCGGCACCTGGTAAGGGGCGGCGGGGGGAGCGCGGCGCGGCATTCGGCGGCGGGGGGGCGCTCCGGCGGCGTGGCGCTGGGGGGGCGGGCTCCGGTTGCGCGGGGCTTGGCGAGGGGGCGGCGCGGGCGCGGCGCTAGAAGGGGGTTCCGGCGGCACTCGGC